TAATTTCTATTCGTTTAGTTGTAGAATTTTTTTAAACGCCCAATCACTCTAAAAATAAAATGTTCAATTTATCCTATTTATGCTTTTCTGTTTTGTTCGAGAATAAGGTACTATGTTCCTCTTAATGAACACACACGCACACGCACGCACTCGCGCACACACACGCACTCGCCCACGCACACGCACGCACTCGCGCACACACACGCACTCGCCCACACACACGCACCCACACACACAGACACACACCACACTTAACGTTTTGTAATAATTTACTAATTTTACCTGGAATTCACTGTCATCAGACCTAGTTTGAATTGTTGATTGTGTCTTGTACACATCTATACCTCTTTCTGATGTATTTTCGATTTTAGAGAGACTAGGCGGAACTATGTTTTCTTTATCATGTTCATAATTCTGCTGAAAAATAAAACAACTATTTTAAAGCTAGAAACTATAATTAAAAACAACTAGTTAAAAAAATAATATTATCATTTTACCTCTGTTTGTTGATTAATTTCCAACATATGTAATATTAAATCAGCTCTTCTTTTCATTTTTTCTTAAATTAAAGAGACTTTAAATAGTTGTTCCAACACTAAAAAAATAATAAAATGACGTATTAAAAATTGTGTCCTTTACTTATTAGATGGTTTCGATTGTAAATAGACACATTCACAAAGAGAACAAATAATTTTTCTAAAATTTAATAAAGTAAAAACCTATTTCTAAATGATCCGCAGATTAAACGCTATTCATTAATAAATTAATGACTGAATTAGTTTTAAGTCGTATTGAATAGCCGTGTTTTAAATCGTAAAATGACTCAACAGTAAAATCGGTCACTACAAGATTAAAAGTTACTGTTAAACTTACCTTAGTTTTTTGTCATGCAAGGACTCTATTGAGATTAGGTCACTACTAGAATAACTGCTAGACGTCCTCTAGCGAACACTCCCGGCTTATAACTAAACTCGCCACTGTTTCGTTAAATGATGTGCGGGGAGAGTATGAAATGAAAGGGACGGCGATATTGTATTCACCCTTTTTTAACCAAAAAGCGTCAGTTTATTATTTTCTGGGGAATAGAATATGCTTTTTTAAGTCGTTTTATGTATTTAACTCGATTTGCCAAAATGTTGGATTGAGTCACTTTCGTTCTCAGCATGCGATATAGCAAAGCAGAAATCTAAAGACACTCGCAGACAAAATCAACTTCCCTTGAAACAATATTTAGAATCTGGATCGTCTAGAAGTGAACAAGCTATTTTTAATGAAGATTTATGCAAAGCTTTAGTGACTTCGAATATCCCTTTAATACGATAAAATAATCCAATTTTCCGATAATTTTTGCAAAAATACTGTAAATTTAATATTCCAGAGCAAAGTATATTACGCAAACGTGGTGTTGACAGTTTGTACATTGAGACTCGTGAAAAAATTCGTGAGATTACCGTTGGAAACCATTTCTACATTATTGTGGATGAAACAACAGACTCTTGTGGTCGATATATAGCCCATTTAATGATAGGTTCATTACGCGAAGAAATGTAAATTGGTCCACATCTAATCGCTTCAAAGCAATTAGATAAAACAAATAACTTGTTTTATCCAGACAGAATTGTCTTCTTTTTTTCTTCCAGAAGCCGTTTCAACAGAAAAATGTTTATTGCTGTTATCCGATGCTGCCCCGTACATGGTAAAAGCCGCACAAAATTTAAAAATGTTTTATGAAAACTTAATCCATGTTACATGTTTGGCTCATGGCCTTAACAGAGTTGCAGAAGAAATTAGGTCTAACTTTCCTTTAATAAATGATTTAATTAGTAATGTAAAAAACATATTTCTTGAAGCTCCTCTAAGAACTCAATGGTACAAAGAAAAAATTCTTGAATTACAGATGCCACCGGAACCTGTGATTACTCGGTGGGGTACCTGGCTTAAAGCTGCCTTTTTTTACGCAGATAATTATGAAAAAATTAAAGAAATCATATTTGATTTTGATGATTCATCTAAGGGAATATCTAATACAAAGCAGTTGTTTCAAAATCACATATTACCAAAGCAATTAGTGTTTTTAAAAAATTATGCATTTGTACCCAAAATTATATTAGATTTAGAACAAAAAAATTTACCTTTGGTGACTTCCGTAAATTTAATTAAGACGTTTGAATCAAAGTGTAAAAATGTCCAAGGCGATATTGGAAAGAAGATTTTTCATAAATTTTCAAATGTAATTTTAAAAAATGAAGGATTTATTGTTTTAAGAAACCTTGCTAATATTTATTCTGGTAACTTTGAAGATATTAATACTATTCATCCAGATATTTCAGGAAAATTTAAGTTTGCACCTATTTCTTCTCTAGATGTCGAAATGAGTTTTTCTTTGTGCAAGTACATACTTACTGATAGGGGACAATAATTTAATACAGATTATTTAGAAAAACATCTAATTGTTTATTCGTTTTATAATAATGTTGATTTGTAAATAAAATTAGTTAATAACACAAGTTTACAAATTCTGGGGCTCGATTCTCGAGATCATTGAAAAATATTCCCATGAGAAAATATTCCACTACTTATATTCCCATGGTAATAGGTTATTCAATTCTCGAACGTGTCGGAATAGACATTCCCATGGAAATAGTAGTTTCACGTATGTCTGATATTAAGTTCACGAATATTTCGAAACAACCAATAACATTAAAGATATTTTAAAATTTACTGTTGGCAATATTTGTATTTGTTGTGGTTTTTGGGTATCCGATTACCTGCCGAGCCTCCGCGCTGGAGCAGATGCCGTGCCGAGCAATCGCTATCATGATCGAGAATAAGTGAAAATATTCGATTACGTATAATAATTAAAACTTGTCGAGTTATTCTTAGTTTTTCTTTTCTCATGTTGAAAAAAGAAAAGGTAGCTTTTGTATGGAAGAGCAACGAAAGTTTTGAGAAACTAAGAAATTCTTTCATTAACGAAAATAATAAAATTTTCGAAAAGGTCTTATTAAATTTACTACACTCAATTTGTGTTATTTGCCAGTCCCTTAGCAGCTCCCACAATTTCTAAATGATTTAGGAAAATCAGTTTATACAGTTTCTTAGTGAAAGAGAATTAAAAATAATATACCTACATAAATAAAATAATATCAATCTATAAATACGCCAAAAAAATGTTTTAACTACAATTTCACTAAAAATCCAAGATATCCAATATCCAATAATCTTTGGTTATGTCTTAGACTTTCGCGTGGTCTTTCGTCAAATTTTCGACTTTAATGCGCAAACTCTAGTACAATTCCCATTGGAAAATACAATTTCCAATGCTCGTAAGCAGGGGAATATTTTCCCATACTTCTTATTGGAAAATATTCCACCGCTTATGCCGAGAATACGAAAACTGAATTCCCATGGGAAAATTTTATTTTCCCATGGGAATAAAAGTCGAGAATTGACCCCAGGTCAACTTTTGGATCAGAGCAGATAAGAACAAATCTTGACGTTATTTGAGGTGCTGAATTCAAATCCGTGTTTTGTTTTTCAAAATTGGTTCTAGTTTGTGAGTTCACGCATGTTGGGCAGCACTGAGCTATTATAATGACAGTTAGCTGTTGGCGTCGCTAGAAAAATGATTTAATTTGTATTTTTAAAGTTTTTTTTTGAATCCAAAACGTGTAAAAATGCAAAGACGGAATTGTAAAATTGATTCAAAGTGTTTTTGTTATGTTTGCGGATGTTATATGATCAGAAAAAGTGGCAAAGTTATTACTAATGTGATCATAAATGCATATTTTTATTATTTTGGTTTCTCTGTATTAAACACTAACAAGCCGTGGGTACCGAAATTGGTTTGTAATGCGTGTAGCACAATATTATACAAGTGGTCACGCGGTAAAAAAGTATGTTTTTCATTTTCATTGCCAATGTTATGGAGAGAGCCGAAAAATTATGTAGATGATTGTAACTTTTGCTTGATGAATGTTCGGTCGGTCTAAATGCAAAAAAATTAGCAAAATTTAAATATCCTGAAGTATCATCAGTGTCTAAGCCAGTTCCCCGTACAAGCAATGATCCTTTGCCAATTTGTCCAGGTACGAGTGCAAATTCCATGGAAACTTGTAGTTCATCACCGATGAACAGTGGAAGCGATTTTAACATGGATGAAAAACATTTAGTTTCGCAAAGTGAACTCAATGATTTGGTTCGTGATTTGAATTTATCGAAACAAAAATCAGAATTGCTCGCATCACGGATGCAGGAGTGGAAATATCTTGACACTCAAACAAAAGTCACTGTATATAGAACCAGAAATGAGGCGCTTTTAACGTTTTTCAAAAAAGAGGTGAATATATGCTTCTGCTATGACATCAACGGTTTGTTTGTTGCGATGAATACACCATACGATGTAAATGAATGGCGTTTGTTCATAGATGTTTTAAAATACAGCCTGAAAGCTGCTCTGATACACAATGGAAACATAAAACCATCAATTCCGATTGATCATGCAGTATAAACGAAGGAATGCTATGATACAATATATAAAATTTTGACCAAGATAAAATATAAAGAGCATCAATGGAAAATTTGTGGCGATTTGAAGGTTTGAAAATAAATTTCAAGTCAGTTTTAAAGAATAAATGATTTACATACTATTCCAACAGGTTATTGATCTCTTGATGGGGATGCAATCTGGTTTTACCAAATTTTGCTATTTTTTGTGTCTGTGAGATAGCCGTGCAACTGACCAACATTATGTGAAAAAAGATTAGCCAAGCCGTACTAATTATGAACCAGGAAAACAAAACGTCTCTTCTATACCACTTGTGAACCCACAGAACATTTTCTTGCCACCTCTCCACATAAAGCTTGGCCTTATCAAAAACTTTGTCAAAGCACTCGACCGAGAAGGACCGGCTTTTGAGTACTTGGCCAAGTTATTTCTCAAATTATCGTACGCCAAAATCAAAGAAGGAATATTTGTCGGACCTGATATTCAAAAATTAATGGCCGACAGAAACTTTACAAAATGTTTAACGCCCAATGAAGCAGCAGCATGGGTATCATTTCAAGATGTTGTTCACAACTTTCTCGGTAACCGCAAATCCCCGGATTTCAAGCAGATAATCGACAGTTTGTTGCAAAATTATTACAAGATTGGAGCTCGAATGTCTCTCAAAATACATTTTCTGCATTCCTATCTCGAATTTTTTCCTGAAAACTTGGGTGATACAAGCGACGAGCAAGGAGAGCGACTACACCAAGATTTGGCGAAAATCGAAAAACGATACCAAGGATTTTGGGACGAGGGCATGATGAGCGACTACTGTTGGACTTTAATGCGTGAAACAGATCCCAAACAGTACAAGCGACTCAGTTCGACTGCTCTTCATTTCTAATTTAACACTTTTTAATGAATAAACTGGAGATTAATTGTCAAAAATTGTAAAAAATGTGTTTATTCAATATCTCGAAAACTAGAACCAATATCAAAAAACGGAGTGCAGATTCGGATTCAGCGCCCCAAATAACCTTAGAAACAACTTTTGGTTGCTTAGATCCAAAATTGTGTATACTTGTGTAATTAAATAATTATTAAGTATTATATTAGGTATTGTAAAATAAAACAAATAATAAATATTAATAAACTATTTCGATCAAATAACAAATTACTCTTATTACATATGCTCTGCATATTTTTAAATTTTTTACTTATATATTGAAGTATTTTGCGGCATATATATGCGCATATTTAACTACTTTTTGGGTGCATATATTCCTAGGTCTACTAATCAATTGACTAAAGAAATACCAGATATAAAGAAGTTGTTACTAGAGGACAGCAAAAAAATTGAAGAGCTAAAAAGTTAAATAAGTAACCTTAAATCAAAGAATAAACAGTTGGAGAGGCAACAGCGAATAAATAATATTGTGATATTCAACTCAAAATTCTCAGGAGATAACCTATTAGATTGATCATTTAGTGGCCAACAAAGATTGATTTTATTATTTTATTCTGATTAAATTAAACAATAAAATAATTGGATTGGTCTCCAACGATGATCATTTAGTATTCTGCAGTGAATCATTTTTCAACTTAATCAACAGAATAATCGGAATGATCTCCAACAATGATCAGCTACTCGTCTGCAGATATTAATATTGATGTTTTGTAGTATTGTTTTAATCTCCAAAGTAATTGAATTGAATTTTAAAGTCCTCAAATTAATCACATCGTTTAATCATATCAATTTCCATATATAATTAGATTAAAAACTTTATGTGATTATATCAATACGTAATGATTAGTCGATTACATGAGACTGATTGTTTTAATCACAATGGTATCGGCTGACTTTTGATCCTCCTAATCATTAATTCAATTCACTTTCTGATTAAATAATGGCCACTTTTTCGTTCAGTGTACAATAGTATTAAGATACTACATCCCATAATATTACTTCAAATTGCCTACTACTGACTCTATCAACACCAAAACAAAATGTATTCAAATTCCATTATTTCAAACTAAAACAAGCCAACGATTTGGTAAGTGTAGGCAATAATTTATGCAAATTTATTGTACAGCGAGCCCGACATCCATTACAAATGTTCAAAATATGTGTCGCTGGTTTCAGCAATTAGTGTTTGTTGTAAATGGAATTACGGTAATCTATCAGAAGTCTGGTTTTGCCTCCATTTCCTTACCAGATCTGAAGGCAACTAGATATTGAAATTAATTTGACTGCGGAATAGCCGTCACGTGATTAAGCGCAAGTGAGGTGTAGCAACCAACTCTACTTTCCTGTATTAATTTAGTGAGAATTTCATAGTAAAGTTGAAGAGGAACGGAAATTAAGTGAGCGCCTTTTATGTGGTTTTCCTATTGTTAGAATAATGTCAAATAAAAGACAAACAAAACAAATTGATATTGTTTTCTAACACTAAAGTATTGGTTTTAGTGTATTAATATGAATAGTAGGAATATTTATAAAATAATCATTATTTTTTTTATAATTATTTGGTTTATAAAATTTAAAAACCGAGAATTATTGAAAATTAATTAATTTGTACTTTTATTTTATTATTATTATGAATATTATTGTGTTGTGTCGACTTTTCTGCATTAACCGACTGATTTCCAGAACCACTCAAAGCGGAATTTGGGTAAAGGCTGTCTCTAGCGGGAAAGAGTCAATTTCGCACTTGTGGGGAAAATTTTTATTTAAGAAGTAATAAATTTAAATATTATAAACATATCGTTTTATTAATTCAAAAAGTGTACTATCGCCTAACAATTTTTTGAAAACCGGACTTAAGGTTTGTATTTAATACAATCTAACATTAATAAATACTGTTAAAAATTAAACGTATTACATCATTGAAAATGGTTATATTGCCCGGTCGCCGTTATAATTAAAGTAGGTGGTATAGATTTTGAGTCTTTTTTTTCTTATAATATGTAGAAACCTGTATATATAGACAGCTGTCAATAACTAAAAATCCACGGGTCATTAAATTCGCTAAGTACCAAATTGTTTTTCGCAAACTAATAGAATTGTACACAACTTATTTCAAGAATGGTTTCAATGTGCAATTTAGGTTCGATTTAATTTTTTTTAATTTGAATGCTATTTATTCCCAGTATTAGACCTGGAAAAACATTTTCATAAAAAATAAAAAGCAATTTTATAATATTACCAAAAAAATCCGGGAGAAAAGCTTTCAAAAAATAAATCAAAACTAAAATGGATCATAATATGAAGGTTGGACAGTTTCAAATTATTAATTAGAATAAGGGTTAGTACTAGAATATCATGAAGATTTGGCCAAAGTATCCATCAACAATGTGGTCACCTTAAGATGAATCAAAGGTCACGCAACATCGAAAGTTAATCATCTTGCTGATTTACTGGCCAAGAATTCAGCGGTTGAGTACCAACTGAGCACGTCTCCGGATGGTGGATAGGAGAACGGCCAAGTTTTCCTTGGTTAGTGGTAGACATAGGTAGAATGCAAGAGCCTAAAAACCCTCAAATTCTTTTGCGAAGGCTACCACCGCGAACCAACGCCCCCAATCTAAGCTGTTAAGTGACGTGCCGACGGATGAATTGTCGCAGGGGTATATGCGGCAGCAAACGCTCCCCTGAGGAAACCTGGCAACATCCTCTTGTATCTGGCCATGCCGGCGCATGCGGGGCTCTGCGTCGGTCGACCTTTCCTTCCCTAGCTACTCGTGGGAATCATATGGATACACAAAAACAACCCAAAGAGGCTGGACATCAACGCTCACCTCCAGCAAAGGGGACTAGACACCAAAGTCCAACTCTGGCGCAGAAGGCTGGACAGCGACGATCACCTCAAAGACAAGAGGATGGACGTCAACTCTCACCTCCTGCAAAGGAGCCAGGACAACAAGGTTCAGCTCCCATACAGGAGGCTGGACAGCGACGCCCACTTTCAAAAAAGGTGAATGGACTCATTAGTTCACCTCTAACTAACAGGCCCCGGAGAGGCAAAAAAATCTCTGGGTCTAAAGCAAAACTGAAGCGGCCTAATCAAGTCCCTAGACAGCAACGCTAGTTCTGCCTCCACCAAAGGTCAATAACACGATGCAACTCGGGACAAGAAAAGGCCGCGATCTCACACCTCTTCCGAGGTAACGATCCGGAAGGGGAAAAACCCAGACAGAAACAAAGTTCTGTCTGGGTTAAGCTACAAGGATGCAGATACGAGCCACCTGAAAGTAGCTATAATAGACAAGGATAACCCTTATCGTAAGATAACTACCTAAAGAGAAATCCTTGTCAAAAAGACTGTTACGTACTAAAAGTCTCATACCTTATATATAATTTTTATTAACAATTTTATTATTCTAATATAGAATAATTAGTTTTCACAAAGAAATGAGCAAGGGCCCAACTATTTTAATATATATCTATTTTGAGATCCTTCAACTGTAGCTATATTTCATCTTCAATTAACTTTACCTTGATATCTGGTTTACCTAAAAATAAACGAATTAAAACTAATATTTAAATATTTTAGTAAATTAGTAAATATAACCTTAAATTTTGTTATGTTCCTCTTCTGTTACCTGTCAAATTTTCTTCTCACAGAACCATAAAACATAAATTATTGGAAAAATACCATGACGTCATGCACAGTTCAGTGTAGCCAATAGTTCAGAAGAATAATTCTCTAGATTCTCGCGGAATGATTCGGTTTAAAGCCCATAAGAAAAAAACTATCAGTTTTTTTTTTCATCTTTTTCTTTTTTGGAGAATTTGCTTTGAGAAGCAACCACGTTTTCCAAACCTCGCCTTTTTTGCGGATATTTACCGAAATCTCCGATTATTTTATTAAATTTCGATATTAGGGATAAAGTAACTAATATCACATTTTGTGGATCTAAAAGAAATAATTTATTTGGAGAATTCAATTATCAAATTCGCTTCAATTGAAGCCACGTTTAGGCCCCCTGCCAACCGAGGTGAGTCTATTGTTTGAACTATTCTATTGTACCTTATATTTCTTTAGATGATGCTTTACCAAGTTATATTATTTTTAGGCCTTTCTCGTTTTCCTATTCTTTTTACCTTTGGCACTTAAAACTATATCTGGGTTGATAGTTCCCATTACATCTTATTCAATTGAAAGGACCACACTATATTGACGCCTATAAGATCTCTAATACCAATCGAAGCCCTGTAAGGTTCTGGAGAGAAGCCGCCCTTCTGGAAAAAAGACAGATAAGCCTTAAAAACTTTAATTTGTTTTTTTTTTATTATTAGTCGAGTCAGTGATTAAGTATATTTTACGTATTAATTTGCCAATTTGCTGATAATTCATTCTTATGTATATTAACTTACCAATTTGCTGATAATTCGTTAGAAAATAGAACTTTAAACCTTCTCAATAGGTCAAACTTGTGACAAGGACATTAATCTAAGTCTGAAACAAAATAGACCATAATTATTAAAAACATTCAAGACAAAATATTCATTGTTAAAGATAGGTATTTTACAATTAGTGTAATCTTTTTATGGTTCTTGTTGAGCTTACCTGTGAATAATTTGTAAATATAAATACGTATTTATATCAATATCATCCAAATGTTTCATACTTATTGCTAAAAGATATTTGAGAAATATAATAATCTTCCTGATTGCAAGAAAAGAACTCCACAATAGCTTTTATTTTGCTAACCTTCGAATCCTTCCTGAGATTGACCCATCCTGGCTTTAAAAGGCTTTCCCTTAGTACCCTGAGGCAAAACAGCCGTAACAAGACACTGATGGGAGATCTGGACCAAACAATCTTGTCCGCTTCCTGTAGCAAAACCAAGCCACCCACATTCAGGTCTTGGTTGCACTCTGGTAAATTCATCAAAGTAAAC